AACAATTAATAGGCTTTGTGAGTGAATGGACTGCTGGAGCAGCCAGCATGGAAAGTGGATGGGCAGGGCTGGAAGCCTCAGGCAGATGAAACAGCATTCCATGCTGCCAACTCCCTGGCACTGCAACACCTTCTGGAGAAAGACAATTCCAGCAGGCTTTGGTGAGAACTGGAGAGCAAACAGTTACAAGCCCAATATTCCCAGCAAGCAGGTATCCACAACCTGAACACCATTACTCTAGCAAATCTCAGCTGAACTTGGATGCCACAACTTCCAGAGGGAGCACAAGCCACAGGGATGCATCCACTTCATGGCAGCACCTGGGGAACACAAGCTTTGCTCCAGTGTGATGAGCAGCATGTCCTGAATATGTGAGCTCATATAAGTACCCTCGTGGTTTGGAAGAGTGATCCCCTTTTCCCCCCTCATCCCTTCTCTGTGCATATACAGTCAGAGCACATTTTGGTTATCCCTCTGTTCCACACACATCTCTGTTCTTGGCAGAGCTTGGGAAGGGAGTTGGACCAGCTGGACCCCAGAGGTCCCTCCCAAGCTCTACCGGTCTGTGATTCCTGCAAGGTGCAAAATCAACTCGCTGGGCACATGCAAATCCATGCACATTGCTGATAAAAAATGGAACTGTGCCTGTGCCATCCCAGCTCTGCCAGGTACCCGTACCCCAAAGAGCACAGACACTGCCCACTGAGGCTGCCAGACCTCCTGGGGCTGAGCCTGAGATCCAGTGACAGAAAACAGAAGCAGGGAAACCCTGCAGAGTCACCTGATCCTTTACCAGGAGCTTTTCTTCCCATTTCTCCTCTGGGCATTGGTTTCCCCAACAAGAAACACACAGAACCATAGAATGATAGATTCATTAAGGTTGGGAAAGCCCTCTAAGATCACTGAGTCCAACCATTCCCCCAGCACTGCCAAGGCCACCAATGATCCATGTCCCCAGGTGCCACAGCTACACCTTTTTTAAACACTTCCAGGGATGGGGACTCCACCCCTGCCCTGGGCAGCTGTGCCAAGGCCTGACCACCCTTTCCATGAAGAAATTTCCCCGTGTGCTGTTTCCACTTATCCTGTCCCTTGTTCCCTGGGAGCAGAGCCCGAACCCCCCCAGCTCCCCTTTCCTGTCAGGGAGTTGCAGAGAGTGAGAACGTCTCCCCTGAGCCTCCTTTGCTCCAGATTAAACCCTCCTGCAGACACCAGTTCTGCTTGTGCTGCACTTGGAGCTCAAGTGCCACAACACAGGAGGGTGGGAAGGAGCTGCACAGTCACATTCCCCCTCCACATGGCCCTGCCACCCCTCCATTTGCCAGAGTCCCGTTATTAACATTTCCACCAGCCTCAAGACAACTCAGAGCTCTGAAACAGGACTCTGTGATGCTGCTTAGCAGTTCTGACTTGCTGCTGTTCGTGCATTTAAACCACAGGGCTCACAAACACTGAGGATAAGGATGGTTTGCCTCGAGTTTCCCTCCAGAAATAAGTGGTGCTCCTGGGGAGCAGGGGGGTGGCACAGCAACCACCCTCCCAGCAGCTGCTAACAACAAAAGCAGGAGGATTTATATATTTTTAGCATTTAAAAAGTAATACTAAAAGAGTGTGTTCCTCCTTCCACGGTCATTGTGACCCAGAGGTATTTCATTCTGCAAAGGCTTTTACAGAAAAATACAAAACCTTTGCAGAATGCCATGGGAAACCCCAGAAAATGAATATTCTCTGGAAGAGGGGGAGGCCAGAGAGCTTCAGCCAAACCAAGCAGTGGGCAGAGACACTTAGATTCAGCTGCACAGATCTTGCAGTACTTTCCCCCAAAAGCCTCTCCTGAATGGAGCAAAATTCAGCAGTTCCTAGTACCCAACAGGACCCTCTTTATGAATCCTGGGGAATGATGACTTGGTGAACAGAAATATTCCCTTAAATCTCATCAGGAAACAGTTCATTGCCCAAATTCCCTCCTAACCCCTCACAGATGTGGAAGGATGCACACTGGAGAGGTGCCACCACCACTTCCAGCAGCAGCAGGAGAAGCCACCCCAATCCCACAGCTCCCAAACCATCCCACTGCGGCAGCCACAGCACTGACCTGGGCACTCACCTTCCTGCTCTCAGCCCCAGGAAGGGTTTGGCACATTGGGAAGCTTGGCCTTGATGAATCCACTGGCTCAGCTGAGCACTTCCACCCAACAGGAGCCCAGGCCAGCACCTTCAAGCACATGAGCAAGACGGAGCCCAAGGGGCCTTGTAACTGAGCCAGAATTTGTCTGGCTTCACACACCTACCAGGGATGTATTTAAAACCAATATCTTTGCCCTAAGCAGAGATTTCTGCAATGAGATCCCTCTAACTAACATGCATGTAACACCTGGTACCTCTAGTCTTTAAGCAGCTGTGTCCTCCTGGCACGCTGGGGAAGGCAAGGACAAGCTCCTCTCTAGAAGGTGGGACACAGAGACTGTGCAGCCTGGTCCAGAAGACACCAGGGGCTCAGATGTGGATGTCACAAGTCTACTGTCTTTACCACTAAGGCCCTTTTTCTACTCCCTCCTGTCTCCCTGTCTTCAGCAGCCAGGAAACTCCACACCACCAGCCTCACCCAGGCAACAGGAGACAGCACAGCCTCCTCCCAGCTTCTAAAATCTTGAAAGCCAAATAGCACTGATTTCTCCCCCTATTCCCACCCCACCACGAGGGAAGCCTCCCCTAATTCCCCCATCACATACAGACCAAAGCCACCTGTTAAGTACTTGTGTCCCTGTTTTCCTGCCAAGGAAGGCCTGTGTTCATCCCTGAGACAGCCCAGAGCAGCTTGGCTTTGTGCTGCTCCACAGCAGCCAAAGCATTATCAGCCCCAAAGGCAGCCACAGGCAGGGACAGAAAAGCAGCAGGAAAAGCAGAGTCTATCCCAGAACTCCTGCCCAGCCTCAGATTGACTCCCCAGTACTCCACTTCCTTCCTACACTCCACAGCTCCGGGGACGAGGACACGCAGAGGTGGGCGACCTACCCTGCCTTGTTCTATTGACTTACTTAATTCTCTAAAGGAATATATTTATCTGTTCCTCTCTGGAAACCAACCATCCGCCGCTCCTCCGCCCCACCGTCCCCCGTCCCTCCCTGGGCACGGCGCTGCTTTGATGCCTGGCTGATCCCAGCAGGTCTTTTGAACCCACTTCCATAATCACTGCCTGGAGCGAGTTCTTCCCACGCAACTCGCAGCTCACTGAATCCTGGCCAGCGATTTTCCTGTCTCCAGGAACCACGCAGCACTGCACTGGGATGGGTTCTGTTCTCCCTTCAGCGGGGGAAATACATAATTATCAGAAAAGCCACTCCTGTCCTAACAGGACACCGGCGTTATCTGCGCCCAGACCGGCAGTTCCTGTTCTTGCCCCAACATCCCCTCCACCACCAGGGCTGGCTGTTCAGGAAATTTATTTCCACATGTCAAGATTTCATTTAGTTTCTCAACCTCCTCCAAGCTACAGACTTTGAGCCATGAACTGGCACACACAAGGCTGCAGAGACATCACCTTTTTAGTGCCCAGGGCCAGCTGTGCATTGGAAGTTCCTAAATTCCAGTGCTGGCTGTGCATGGGCATACTGGGGTGCTCATCTGTGAGCCAAGACGCTTTCCCCAACTCCTCAAGGCAAGAGAGGGAAAACCACCAGTCCAGAAGGGATAATCCTGCAGGAAGGACCAGCTCTGTTCACAGCATCCCTCTAAACTAGAGGGGACAAGCCCTGACAGCACAGATCACTGACCAGAACCATGGGCCAGACACACAGGTTGGCACACACAGCAACAGATTTTAGGAACTGCACAAAATACCCTTTTTAAAGGTTTCTTGGGCTTTGCCAGGAACTCAAGGCCGTGTTTGAGAGCGAAGACAACAGCTAATTGGTTCCACACTGTCCCAGCTCAACAAGAAGACCCAAGACAGGGCTAGAAAGGAGCAAAGGTGACGTTGCTGCCTCAGAGGCTCCTGGAGTTGTGTATCAGACCCTGTGCAGCACATTCCAGGCCTCACAGCTGCAGGAAGGCAAGAAAACAAGGACCCCACCACAGATGCTACATGATCATCACAGCAAACGTCTACAGTGGAAAGCCAGGACGCTCAGAAGCAAGCAGCTATTCCTAAATGACCAGCAGCTCCAGACAGACTCAAGCAGGTACAAACACCCCACCAGGCTGGAATCTACACCGAGCAGGCATTAGGCAAAGGCTCAAAGGTTATTAGCACAAAACACGGCAGCCTCTGTAGCCAAGCCTGCGGGCAGAGGGGTTTTAGATGTTTTGACACACCTGTCAGAGACTGAATGCAGGACACATGCCCCAGCATGAAGAGAAACTCCTCACTCTGAGTGGCTGGTGGGGAAGGGGCAGAGGCAATGGCTAGGAGACACATCTGAGGTGCAGATTTCATCAAGGAGGAATTGGAATTGAGGGTTGGAAACACTGAGCTCTTTTTCAAAGTAATTCTGGTCTGGTGTGTTTCATTCCCCTGGATCTGGTATTCAAAAGCATTTCACTGCTTTTGCATGAAAACAGCTTCTCCAGCTCTTCTGAGATCAGAAACTCTTGAGGCTTATCACCTCCCAACCTGGAGTCACAACCCTGTGACACTACAGTGTGGTTGGGAGCTCAGAAAGAAGAGGAGCCATGAGAACACGGCAAACAAGGAACTGAGATCCCATTCCCTGGCAGCCACCTTCACAACTTAAGTGAGTGAGGAAGAGCTGGGCTGAGTCCTGCAGTCCATTCTGCAGGAGACTTCAGCCACCCCGTGTAAAGGACAGGGCTTGGCATCACTCAAATCGGTGGAAATTTGGCTGTAGCTTCCTGAGGAACTGAACTGAGCCTCTGAGTGAAGGGACACGACAACAAATAGGATGCAAAGCAACTTGTCTGCCAAAGGCAGGGCCGGACTGAGGCTGAGAGGTGAGCAGTGAGCGGGTGAGCAGCGAGCAGGTCCTTCCCCTCCTCCTTACCTTCGCACCCGGTGCTGGAGGTGCTGCTGCTGCCGCGTTATAAGGGCACTTTCCCACACGGGGCCGCCGTGGCTGCTCCTATACCAGCCCACGGCCGGGTGCCCCGGGTAGGGCGCGCTACCGAAGCCATGGTCCGACTCCGTCTCCGCGGCCAGCGATGAGGCAGAGCTCCCCATGGTGCCCCCTGCCCAGCCCACGCTGAGACTGAGCCTAGGTTAGGTCCAGGCCAGTGGCATGAGCAGCTCGGGTGGGATGGGCGAGGCGCTGCGGCATGGGCTGCTGTAAAGATCCCAACACACCGGAGGAAGGGAGGTCGGTTCTGATCCGAGGGGGGAAAAAAAACAACAAACAAACAAAGAGAAAGGGGGGAAAAAAAAGGAAAGAAAAAGAGAGAAAGATAAGGTATGATTTCAGCAACAACCCTCCAGTTTTAAAGCCTATTAATGCATGCTCTGAGCAGGATCCCCATGCCAGTGCTCACTGGGATGGGAAGGGCTGTTTCATTGAGTCCAGCTTTTGCTGCTGGAGATGAGGAGCACAGGGGCTCTAGAAGAACCTCCCCCAAGTTAAGCACCAGGAGTTTCCAGGCACAGGGAAGGAGCTCGACTAGGGGAGGGAAGCACAGCAGAGCCCAACACAAAGCCTTTCGCACCAGGGGAAAGAAGCAGAAAATGGGACAAGCCAGTCCCACCTGGAGCCCAAACCAGCAACCCTTGGGGACCACAAACCCCAGGGCAGTCTGAAAGCTCTGGGTTCCGACTGGCACATCAGGTGTTGAGCTACCTTCAGCTACAAGGACTGGATGGTTTGTGTGCTTGTATGTAAAATAAAACATTCTTCTTTTCCTGTTCCCCACTAACACCGCAGTAAGGCTGGAACTGGACAGACTGGGAATCTGAAAAAGTATTTCTATGGCTATTTACTTTCAGCTCAAGCCAATTTTTAGCTGAGACGGAGCATGCCCTTACCCACAAAAGCAGGTCTGGGGCTTTGACTGCTCCTCCTTTTCTCCCTCTCTCTTTGCTACTTCTTGGAATTTATTCTTGGAGCATCATCACAGTTAAACTACAGAAACATTTCGTGTGCTCTGGTATTCGAAGAAGTTTAAACACACACACGTGTCTCCTTAAAGGGAAAAGGCACAGCAATCTGGATGTGTATCAGGAGCAAAGGATCAAGGTAACATTTAACAGAGCAAAAAAGAAACGAGAAAGACAAAAAAATTAGCACAGCTGAGCTTATTCAATTACCCACCAGGATTTAGGGAGATGAATGAACTGTAGAAAGACCTTTGCGAAGAAACTGCTTTGTGCCGTAAAAAGGCTGAAATGAAGAGTCCTAAAATACAGTTTTTCAATTTCAGGATTGATCTAAGGGATCAAGAAAGGCCTTGATAGATAACAGACTCTGAAAAGCAGCAACTCAAGGAGCAGGTGCAATTTTGCTACAAGCTTAATGCCAGAATGTGCCTGCATTAGGTCATTAGCTGGAGAATGTTAACTGCTCTGTCACAGTCTCTCCTCTGTATTCTACAAAGCCTGAACTAACCAAATAAATGTGAAAAAAGAAGCCCAAGAACACAATTTTCCCTACCACCTCCTTTTTTTCAATTGATCTGCTTCACTGCTGTGCATCAGCCCCACATCCCTACGCTTTGGTTCCTACCACCCAACAGCAAGGTTTCACTGATTTCGCAGATCCAGCCCAAGTGGATCCCTGGCACTTCCCCTCTCATTTCCTGCTATTCAAGCAGTTAATTTGTAACAAATCTGATTTTCTGGCTAAATGAAAGCCACGCCATGTGAGGGGAAGAGCATTTCCAAGCATCATCAACTCAAGCCTAACTGGGGGCATCACTCATCCCACACCTGCGATGTCTCTGGCTCTTCCGCCCCATCCCGCGGGCTGCACGTGCTCCGGCAGCAAAGGCACAGGGGATGCAACTCTGGGACCTGCCAGAAGAACAAACTCTGTCTTTTACCTCAAGACTCGAGTTCTAGCACGATAAAGTAAATAAATAAAGGCAAGATGGGTAGAAACAGCCCTGCCCAGCTCAGCAGGCTGAGCGAAACAGGAGGATGCCCAGGCAGCCAACAGCCTTTTCCCACCTCGAGTAGGGTTAAACTGCCAAATAAAGCAATTCCACAGGCTGGTTCAAGGCCACTTCCTCAGCTGACTCTCAAGCTGGAAAAGTAGAACTCTGCTTCCTCCTCCCCATGGAAACACCAGTTTTAGCTCACCACAAGAGGCCAGAGACATGTCTGCTGCCCACATCACACTGGCTCCAGTGTCCTGCTCTGTCCTCCTCCGCCAGGGAGTCGGAGCAGGCAGCTCAACTCCACAGGGAGAGGAGAGGCTGGGAGTCCTGCTTTAAAACCTGTGGTAAAACCCCACGGTGGGTGGAGCTGGGAGAGGAAGGGAGCTATAAATAGATGGAGGATAACCTGGCTAAGTCGTAGTGATCTCCGAGACTGTCTGGTCTAACCGGGCTGCTTGGCCGCGAGCGCTGCGTGAAATCGGATTTCTCCAGGCAAAGCAGTAAATCCTTCTCTTCAGGGTCACCCTCATGCCAGGTGAGAGCAGCCAATGAACAACATCTAAGGGTTGACCCAAGGTGGGGAGAGGGTGAACCAGTTTGAGAACAGGAGTGGCAGCAGCGTTACAGCTCAATGCAAAGCACACACGTCGCTCCCCAAGCTGAGACCCAAAACGCCTTTGGCCAACACCAGGCAAATGAGGAGCCTCCAAGAAGGAGAGGTGAGAATGGAAACTGCACTCCAGCAAGGGAAGGGGACAATTAAAGAAGAAGGAAGCCTCTCTGGAAGCACTCAGCCTTGTTTTTGAGGAACTTCTCCCACTGGGCAGGGAGATGCCCCAGGATGACCTGCAGGCATGTGACCCGTGCTGAACAGGGGAGGCTTCAGCCACAGAGAGGGAACAAACTGCCAACAGTTCCTCTGCCTTGGCAGGAGGGAGCAGGATTTTTCTTGTAATTAAAAAAGCACTACTTCCACCTATCTAATCTGGAGAGGAAGCAACAATGTGAGCAGATTGAAGTGTCTTGAGAGGGGTGGATCTCACTCATGGAAATTAACAGTTAAGCACCTTAGTAAGATGCTGAGTTTGGATTTTGGTTTTCTGCCCCTTGCAGCTGCAATAATTACCAGGTTTCAACAGATGCTGTTTAGCTGCTCCCAAAATACTGCTTCCAAAATAAAACCTCTCCCGAGCCACTCACACCAGCTTACCCTGATGGTGATGCAGACCCTTCCTTAAATTCCCCACCAGCACCGTGAGCAGCAGGCACATACAGCAAGTTCAGGACAGCAAAGCTTTCCCTTGGAGGTTCTTCCTGCTGCTGGGATAGCAGAGCAGTCACCTGGACACTTCCAGATAACTCTATTCCTCCACAGCAGCGAGCAGTGCTGACCCTTCAGGCCCCAGCTCTCCTGTCACACTGGAGCAGGCAGGAAGGGTGGGGATCTGGGTCTGCCCAACCCCCTTTCCTTCCCTCCAGCTTCAAAGTAGGCTTTGGCTCTGAAGAGAGCAAAAAAGGAAGCAAAGGGAACTAGCCCATGTGTTTCAACGCATCTAGGAAGTTGCAGGATCAACTTTTCCTAGGATCAGCCCTGAGCTCTTCCCTTTGGCACACAGCAGGAAGGAGACAGAGGTCCCTGGAGCTGCTGCAGCCACTAAGGAAACCAGTGAGGAAGACTCACCCCAGCTGGTCCCATGTGCAGAAACTCCTCCCTGTGATGGGATACCCCACACACTCCTTTTCCTGGTAATTTATGAACCACATGGCACGTGGTAGCTCAAGTACTGCCTGAGTTTTCCAGCCCCACTTGGTTCTCAACCTCCTAGACTCAGGGACAAGACTTTGTCACTTCATTAATTTTTCCACTCCCTCAACCTATAAAGTCAACTCTGAGCTACTCCCTTGTTGCAGGGAAGATCAAGGAGTGAAAACACAGCCCTCCTCAACTCCAGACAGCTCTGAGGTGGTGGGCGAGCAGCTGGCCCAGGAGAAGCACACCATGTACCTGCGACAAAGATGTCCCTCAAAGCTGTGCCAAGAGGAAGGACACTTTCTTCTAGAATTGAAGCTGCAAGAACCAGCCCTTCTCCTCTCTCTGCTGTGTAAGCTCCCCTGCCTGGGGGCTGGCTAAGATCATAGATCCATAGAATGGCCTGAGTTGGGAGAGACTCACAGAGCCCAACTCCTGGCCCTGCACAGGACACCCCAACAATCCCACCCTGTGCCTCAGAGCTTTGTCCAAAAGTTCCTTGAGCTCTGTCAGCCTTGGGGCCGTGACCCTGGGGAGCCAGATGTGTTGGGACCTTGTACCACCCTCAGCAGCAAAGGAGGAGCTCTGTGCCCTCATTCACATGCAACCTGCTGCTGGCAGGGAGAAAACAGGGCTCCTGGAGAGCTCTGAATGTCCAGTGCCCACACGCAGCCCTGGCAGGAGCAGCCTCCTCTGCAGGGACTGCGGGATGCGACACCCCCTGAAACACAAATTAGCTCAGGGGCCAGTGGGTGCAGCTGGAGTAGCTGGGGCTGACTGGGGCATGGAGCTGGAGGAGACCACTTCAGACATCACAAAGGCATGGCCAGCCCTTGGCCACTCCTGCCTCCATGCACAGCAGATCTCCCTGCTTCCCACGGAAGGAGGCACATGCTCCCAGGGTCCGGGGGAAGCAGGGCACGGTGTGCAGGGCTGGAAAGGTGCCCAGCACCAGGCAGGGCAGTGTCAGGAGGGTATAAAGTCACAGAGCACGGCAGGCACGGGATAACTAAGGATGCAGAGTGCAGTGTCTGATGGTGTGCCATGCCAGCCAAGCAAAGAAGCTCAAGCATTTGTGTGCCCAGCAAGTGACAGATCCAGCTCCCAGCCCCAGGCAGGGTGGCAGGACGCGCAAAACCAGGTCCCAGCACCAAGCAGAGCAATGGCTGGCACTCACCAGGCTGAGATGACTCTGCTAAAAGAAGTAACCCCAAGAGAGGAAGGGCAAACAACCCCTCTCCTTCCACAGGGCAGTGGGGGAAGAGCAGACAAGCAACAAGACACCCACCTCAGAGAGATGCAGCACAGGCTGAAATCCAAGATGCAAACACCGACCCACGAGAGCTCTATGGCTCAAGTGCAGCAAGAGCAAGTGAACTGAACACTCTGTGCTGAGCAGGTGTTGTGCACACAGCTGGGGACAAGAAATAAAGTTTTGCTGCTCATTCTCCCTGCCCTCACCTGCCAAGGCAGCCCAAGTGCTGCAGTCTTGGCAGGAAATTAAGGTGTCAGCAAGTTCCAATTCCTTGCAAAGGTTTTGGCAGGGAGGGGCAGGAAGGTACCTCCAAGGACAGACTGAGGCATAGGTATAACAGGAAGGATGGACCAGTGGTTGGCACACTCAGCTGGGAGGTGGGAGGCTTTTGCAGACCTCGTGCTCTACCACAGAGCTCCCTGTGTGACCTGGGCCATGGTCCTGTGACTCAGGAAGCTCTGTCAGACCTGCCAGGGCCAAGAAGTCTTCAGGTGCACAAGGCACAAGGATGACAGGCAGTGTGTGAGCAGCACAAATGGGAGGACATGGAAAAGGGAGAGAAGGGTGAAACTCACCCACTCAAATGTTTGTGATGGGGCAGAGGGCTGGAAAAGGAGAGGAGACCAGAGATTCTGGCCTTTGAGGAAACTGAGGGGACTGGAAGCTGCAAGTGAGCTGTTTTCCAGATCTCTGTGAGAAAAAAGACTGGTACACTACTTGCAGAGGTATCATTAGCTGAAGTGAGCTGTCTGGAAGCACATTTCCAGATGGGCTATTAATGAGGTAACAAGATAATTTAACCTGGAGTCCCAGACCAGCACAGAACAGGACCTCACGTTTCATGCGACACTTTAGCAAAGGCCAGAACAGCAGCACATGTCTCTGGCCACGGAATTAACATGCAAGGGCAAGCTCGAAGGTCTTTACCTTCTTTCAGCTGCCTTGAAACTGGTTCTGGCCAAACTTTAATACAGAAGAAACTCATATACAGCAGCTGAGTTGGGCTGAGCTGCATTTAAAGCCCAGCACTGACTCTTCATAAGTATGCAGGCAGAGGAAGAGGTGTCCAAAGCCTGAAGTGAAAGATTGATAGGAAAAGTACATTTATTGCAGAGCCAGCTTAGCCACAGAGCAACGAGCAGCAAACTCTGAGCAAAGTTTCCTCTTCTCCCTTGCACTGGACACTGTAAACCAGTGACAGATAATCCAGGGAGCTACTGGAAATCTACCACGGTCACTTTGAGAGAGAGGATTATATAGATTTGAAAGGGCAATCAACATCTTAATCACAAGCTGGAGGGAGGAAAAGAGGGAGAAGCAGGACAGTTTTTTCAAAATAAGGGTTAACTTCAACCCCCATCTCCATTGACAGCTGAAGAGCAGTTTCTGAACAAGCATGAAAATGGCAACAATGGCACTGCTGAAGAAGGGTCTGAATGTTTAAAAAAAGCCCACACAAGCCAATCCCTACAACCCCAGTGCTCTATTAAGTCAATTAACATTGCTCCAGTGAAGTGCAGTGAGCCACGTGTATCCTGCAGTTTCCCAGCCAATTGTGGGTGACTTTGGAGCTCAGTATTAACTCAGCCTGCGTGGGCTGGCACGGGCCCTCTCATTAGCAGCAGAGAGGTGATACCACAGAGAGACACACATGGGCAAGAAACAAAACAACACAAGCCCCAGCATCCAATCTTGGGAAGCTTTAAGCAGCAGATCTCATTTCCAGATCTCTTCCTCCCTGTATTTATAATCCTTGTAGCAGAGTTCTGTCATCCTACTCAGCTCACAGGCTGCCCCAGCTCCAAGAGATGTCAGGCTGAAAAATCACCCCGACAGATTGCCTGCTGAGACCAGTTGCATTATAAAAACAGGAAGCTCTTACTCTCCTGCTCCCAATATGCTATGGAGTGAATGGGAAGGAGCAGACGCAGGGATGCTTTGCAGGAAGCTCACAAACATGGGCCTCTTGCCAGGAAAAACGCGTCTTGAGTAACACATGTGCTCTTAGTTTCCTCCTTTCTCAGAAGGTTTAACTACACTCTGGGTTACCCAGCAGCAATAAACCATTTTTCCCCCCCTTCTCACTTACAGCAGAGTGTTGCTTGGTAAACAGCAGATCTTCCTGTCTGAGGCTGTGCCAGCCTGTGCAGAACAGAATTGTTGTTATTGCACATTCATAGCTAGAGATAAACATGAATAAGAGCCACGAGTAAGAGCCAGGCACTGGCTTTTCAATGCACTGCTTTATCAGGTTCACCTTGATTCAACTGTTTCTGACAACATCTCTCCCTCCTGAAGGGGCAAGATGGCACAAGTAGCAAGGACAAACACTAAAAAACAAGACAAGTGACAGCAGCACAAAAAGTGCTCTTCTGTACTTGCTAACACTCACAAACTGTGCAGCTCACAGCTCCACCTGCACTTGAAACACTCAAAAGCACAACACGGAAACAAATGAGCCCAGCCAACCCAACCTTCCCAAATGGAAAAACAAAGCAGCCTTCAACGTTTTCTCAGGACAAATCTCCATCGAGAGCCACAACTGCTGCAGGACATAAAGGTTACAGAGAGCCAGGGAAGGAACAAAAAGTGCAAGTCATCTCTCATCTGCAAGCTGACACTCTGCAATGGCACAGGTACAATCAACCAGCCCGGGAAAGCTGGACACTGGGAGTCAGAGGAGGGCTTCTGACCTTTCAAAGAGCAGATCTATCGACCAGCTGCTCCAGAAGCACTGGGGAGAGAAGCACAGAGTTAGTCCCAATGACTGTTCCTGGACAAGTTCATGACCTGCACAAGAAGACTGTCTTCAGCAGCAGGGAACTGGGCTTGATGACCCATGGAGTTCCTTCCTCCCAATCACTCAGCAACCTGAATTATGGTGGGCTATAGGTGCCCAAACACAGCACAAACACGAGGTCATTCCCAAAAGGACAGCAGGGATTGTATCTCCAGATCATGCTAAGCCGACAGATAAGCAGATGAAGAGCTGGCCACTGCAGAAGGGAGGGGAAGAGAGTTGCAGCAAAAAAAAAAAGTCTCATATCCAGTGAAAATCCAGGGCACAGATTTGGAAAGCAAAGTCTCAGAGACAGGAGGTGGAGGAGATGTCCCTGAGCACACTGTCCCCAGACACCCCAACCACAACTTTAATTCTAACACAGGTTAGACAGACAGTAAATATGTAATTTGCCCAAGCCTCATCCAGCTGCATCCCTTGCTAGACAGCTCCCACTCCTCACTGCACTGCCCTGCCCAGAGCCAACAGGCAGCAGCACCTGGGTGTCTCTTTCTGCCATTTTTATGCAAGTTGGCCTTTCCTGGCCTTAATCTGATACCACGTTCCAATTTCCAACCAACTGGCCTAGATTTAAACCACTGCATCTCTGGCTGTGCCTCAGGCAAGTGCAGAGGTAGGATAAGCCTGAGAGACAACAGTGGCATTTGGCATTTCCATCACAAACAATGGGAAGAGAAAAGCATAGGAATCACTGAGAACTGCACATGAGGCTCCTGCCTTCCCCAAGAGAACAGGGAACCAGGAGAAACCAGGGAGGTGGGGCAGACTTGGGGGCTGGAGAGGAAAATAGTTCCTCTTCTGGAATCATAGAATCACACAATGGTTTGGGTGGGAAGGGACCTTAGAGCCCATCCAGTCCCACCCCCTGCCATGGGCAGGGACACCTTCCACCAGCCCAGGTTGCTCCAAGCCCCGTCCAACCTGGCCTTGGACACTTCCAGGGATGGGGCAGCCACAGCTTCTCTGGACAACAGGGAAACACAGCTCAGAGTGATAATTTAATGGAGAAGCACCACATTACTGCTTCCTCCCCTCCAGCTCCACATTGCACCTGCACTCTGTGCTGGGCCATCCTGAAAACCATGTGGATCCTTCTGCACACTGATCTGGCAGCCATGCCATGGCTCCTGTTAGGAGATTATACTGTAATTGAAATTATAGGTGTGGAATAACACCTGGGACAATGAAGTGCTACAGATAAAACAGAGCCTGACACCACCACAATCCTCCCCTCTCCTCACCAGAGTAGCTTTACTGGCTCACTGTCTCCATCACAAGTGGCTCCTCTTCAGCTACACCAGTAGAGCTGGAAGTGCAGGATGTGTTCAATTACACAACACCTTAAACCATATTTTCCCAGGAGAACAGTCATTAGAACAAATACAATGGTCACACTGAGGAATGAGGATACGACGAGGAAGAGGCTGAGAGGGCTGAAACATAATGCAGACAGTTTGAGGAACAAGCTGCCTTTGCTAGAGCAAAGCCAGCCCTAGCAGGCCATTGGAGGTACCTCCAGCACAGGGAGGGAGCTGGGCTCTCCACCAAGAGCAGTGGCTGCATCCTGAACCCATAATGCCCAAACAGGCAGATGGAGAGGAGGTCAAATTACTGGAGTCACTCTCAAATGCCTTGCAAGACAAATCCAGCTGCCTGAGCCTGTGGTGCTACAGACCCCCAACCTTCCCTCCACCAGCCTCTGCTTCCTTAAACATACAAGGTCAGGCAACAGGAACAATGGCAGTAGCATTTGTAAGACATTTCAAGGCCGAATCAAAACTGACCCAAGAGCAGGAGTGTCACATCATCCCTCCCACCACTGAGAACTAGCCATGGTACAGACCTGACCAACACCTCCCTGGGGACAGTCACTACTCAAAGATAAGAGTGTTCAGTCTGGCTTCCCTGACCTCCAGCTGTAAGAGATTCCTGCAGACCTTCTGCTGTGGCTGGACACCAAAGCCACATGGAGACTCCAGCTAGTCCATAGGCACCCAGGCAGACCAGATGGGCCAACACACAGCATGCTGGTGTCCATTTGATCAATCCAAAACCCCAACATGGATCATTAGAACTCAAGGATAACACTATCACACACTGCAAGAGTACCCACCCTGAAGGTCCAAGCTCAGACTGGCTTCCCACCACCTCATCCTGCCTCCACAGCCCAGGCTCTGAATCCCCAGGCTGAAAGCAGCCCAGCCATTTAAGGCACAACACAGCCACCTCTCTGTCCCAGTCCTGGCCTGGGAACTGTCACAGTGGTTACTGCAGGCAAAGCAATGCAGAGTTTTTAAGACCAACTTATTCCCCTGCCCTGGCACTGCCTCAAACACACCCTGGGACAGTCGTGCAGTTTCCAATGCTTAAGATTGCGAGGTCCTGGAAGACCCACAATTTCTCTTCCACTATTACAGTTTCCTCTTCACCACAAGAAAACCAGGGGACACCAGTATCCCTAACCCACATGAGCATGTGGCCTTCACACAGACAGCATGGACAGGGAAACACTCAAAGGAGGAACCAAAACAAGGAAGAACAACAAGAATGAGATGCATGGGAGACACAAAGCGGGGTAACTGTGCTTACACACCAGAGCAGAGAAGGTCTTCCTTTCAGCCCCTCCCAGCCCAGCCCAGAGCTGAGTCAGAAAAGCCTCTCACCCCACACGGTTCCTGCTCAGTGGGTCCAGTGCCAGGGGTGTGGGGTCAGCCTGGAGTCCCTGGAGCCGGGCGGGCACTGCTGGCACCCGCGGAGCAGCCTGGCAGGGGGACCATGCTAGGAGGTGCCTGCAGGAGCACTGGGAGCACACCAAGCCTGGCAGGAGCAGCTGGAGGACAGAGAGGGAAGAAAGGCACGTAAGAATAAATGGCTGCTGAGACTCTGGGCTGATCAGCATCACCCCAGCAAACACAACCAACCTCACATCACTCCGTCAGCATCCACTTGAACTCCAGCTGGCAGAAGGCTCTGTGCTTCCCAGGCAGAGCCTGGGAGCTTGGTCCTGTCTGGAGACACGATGGGACCCACTGCTTCTGGGTCAGCTCAGATTCTTCACTTGTGCTTTCAGAGCCTTTGGCTGTGACTTTATAGTTCTGTGCCCAGCATTGGCCTCACTCTCTCTGACAGTGGCCTCAGCACTGTGCTGTGAGCTGGCATCAGAGCAGGAACAGCACCCCGGGAGCACGGCAGGACGGAGCAGGGCAGGAGGGAGCACGGCAGGATCGCATGGACAAGGACTCTGGACAGCTCTTGACAATTAGCAACAGGGCAGGAGCTCCCGAGGGGCCGGATGTGAGCGCAGCGGTGTCTGGCGGGGCACGCTGCCTGAATGTTCAAATACAGAAACAGATGTTAATTACTCTGCATAGCCAGGACATCATTAGCAGTTACATCTACTGGAAATTCTACAGTACTAATTCCTCTGATTACACCAAACGTGCCCATCCCACCCCCAGAAGCCATGACGTTCGAGTAGTTGCCTCGGCAAACCTCCCTCCTCCGAGATATTTCCCCTTCCTCCTTCATATTCTCTGCTCTCAAAACAACCTGTTTTAGTGAAATCCATGCTTTAAGAAAGAGCTGTCTCCTTTGGGACGGGCTTTTAGCAGATGGAGGTAACAAGAACCCTTGTCCATAAGTGTCTGGTTCACCAGCACACTCTCACTTCCTCTGTTTGAGGCTGGGGAGGGAGCACAAAAATAAGGATTCAGCCAGAACAATGCGATCACTGAGTCTCTTTGGGACCATGGCAGAAGCACCAAGAGCAACAGATCCTGTTCTGCTCCCTCACCTTGCCCACTGCCCCCACAGCCACACCATCAGGTGCAGCACAGTGCCCCTGGGGTAGGTCACTGTGAACTCACAAAGAGCGTCTCTCTTCCAGCACTCTCCACCACTGAGAATTCCAGGCAGTGGGGAAAAGATGTCCTGTGGCAAACACCTGGACACAGGCTGGTAATGGAACCAGACCAGGACAGGGAGGATGATACAGAGCGGGCAAGAGATGCCACTCAGGGACCAGTAAAAAGTAAATAAGGGACTGATTCAGGTTCAAAAGGACCTTTTAGCCCAAGGGTCTGTGCAGCACCGGCTACAAAGAGAATTCCAGCCCACAGCATCTCCAAGGTACTCAGTGGAAAGGCTCAAGGCTTAAAGCTAATGAGGGAGTGAGACCAACACCAGAGGACAGAGCACCCCACAAGTGCCCCATCAGTGTGTGTGACACCACGTCATTTTCCTTGTAGGACACATGTTCACGTAACTATGGAGTAGGAAGGGAAAGCTCTGAGCACCCAGCAGCTTAACACAAAGCCTCTGGGCTGTGCTGGAATTCCAAGGACTGCCCCAGCTCTGCCTGCTGCCTGACTCTGCAGGCAGGAGACCGAGAGAGGCAAGCTGGAGAGCAAGACCTTGACCACATCAGTGCTGCAGGCTCTGTGGAGAGCAGGGCTGCCACAGGGGAGGACACAGCCCGGCACACGAGGACCCTCATGCCGTGCTCCCATTTCCAAGGACCAGCACAAACACAGGGGAGTTCCCTTGCTACCCCAACAAAGCTGTCCAGAGTTACCTTCTCTGCAAACCTTTTTGTTACAGGAGCAGGAGAACACAACCCAAGCTGGGAAGCTGCCCGTGATATCCTCAGTAAACCAGAATCACCTGGGCCGGGACTGGGAACAAGATGCCGAAGAGGAAATGTTGGTGCCATAGGAAGCACCACGTCAGAAATGCAGCTGGGTGGCATCACAGAGAGGACAACAGCTTTTGTAAGGTCTCAGTCTCTGTTTCACCAAAGTGGGTGTGCATTGATAACCCTGCAGCTTTGGCAAGGGCTGCCAATGCCAGAGCTGGGGCAGGACACCAGCATTGTGCCCTGACATGGTGCCATTGTCACCCTCCCCTGACGCTGAGCCTGCTCGGGCCCACAGCGTTTCCTCAGCACCCTCCTTGCTATAAAAGGGGCTGCACTGCAGGAACAGAGCAGCTCTTTCTTTTTTTATGAACACACATTAGAGTTTACACCGTTGGCAGAGCACGGAGGCACGACTTTGTGGGGGAACAGAGATATGGTTCCAACACTAGTTTTAATGTGCAAGCCTAAAGACTCGGCTTCAGTTTTTAGAAATCAAACTTGATCATCTCAAGCTGGCAAAAATAGCCCCATGTTCCCTCGAGTTATTTTCTTTTCAAATAAGCAGGGTACAGCACAATAGGAAATATCAGCAGTTATGTATTCAACCTCCAGAAACCCAACGGGCCAATTCCAGCAACCCACAGCAGCTTTCCAACCCTCCCTGATCTATTTGCTGGAGTTAGAGTGAAAAGCAGGCTGCCCCCGAGCCATTCAGCAAACTCCACGTCCCACTAATTACATCAATATAAATGTATTATCTTGGCTGTCAAACATGGGCTGCCTGAACAGGACAACGCTCTGCCATGGAAATGCAGGAAAACAATTGCTCTTTCTGCTGGTGACACATTTCTCTGGATCTTATTTCCTTGCCAGGGCTCCCCCTTCCCCCTTCTGCCCAGGCATCAGGGCAGTAGTAATTTTTTTTCAAGAGGAAATGGCACACAAAAATCATCCTCATCTTTTAAGTGACTGAAGACGAGCAGATTTTGGGAACACCACTGGCACTTCCCATCAGCCGTTCTGACACGGGGAAGTGAGCTGTGAGGGCAAGAGTTAAATGTTTCTCCTGAGCAAGCAGCAGCCCTTCTGCCTCTCTTGGCTTCCTCAGCTGCCGTCGCTAAATGTGTCAACACTCCAAACAGCAAATGTGACAGAAATTCGGAGTAGCCTGTTCCTCTCTGCCCAGCTCGGGGACAGTGGCCTGGAGAGGGCTGTGCACTCAGGAAGGGTCCAACAGATACCACCAAGGTTGAGGCAAACGCAGGCAGATCCAGGAGGCTCCCAGGGAGCAGGCAGGCAGCTCACCTCGCTCCCAAGAGTGGGATTATGACGGAAAATGAGGAGGAAGCCACTGACTCACCTGTCCCTCCCGCGTAAGCAGCTTTCCCAAGGAAGGCTGCACTGTGCCTGACCTTGCTCAGAGCCCAACGTTCCAAATGGGCTGCTCACAAGATTCCTCCCAGTTCTGGGCACTTGGAGAGAGCCACTGCAGCAGGACACTGGGCTGGCACACACTTTACAAATCCGTCTTCTCTCCCCCTGCCCACAGTTCTGACCACAGGCAGCCACTGCCCCTCACTCCAGCCTCCCCCTGCTTCATGAAGACCCTCACTCAGAGAAATGCCACAGGGTCTGGTCCTTCCCAGGCCCCTCTGCTCACAGGCAGGGCAGAACGAAGCCAGAAACAAACAAGCCTGGATTCAGATGAGGCAGGAAGAGGAAAAAAGCATTTCTCCCACTTGCATCTCACCTGGGAGCAGATGATGTTCCCACCAGAGGAGATCAGCACAACCGTGGCTGCACACAGGGAGGGGAGAGGTTGAGTCTCTCACTAGATCTCATGTGCAACCACTGCAAATTTGGAAAGCTCCCACAGAACCTCTGGGACAGAGGTGAGCACGTTTTCCATGAGATAAAGCCAATAGCACTCAGCTGGCTGAGGGAACACCAACAGCATTCAGCTTTGGCCACTTCCCTCTGCAAAGCCAGCGGTATTCCGAGCAAAGATAAGGGTGTCTGGTGGACAGCCCAGGAGAGCAGAGGGCAATCAGCCTCATGAGGGCATCCAGGCTCCTCCACGGGGTCACCCAGCCCTTCCGCTCCTCTGAGGCAGCTCCGAGTCTGGGCATGACACCCGACCTTTTTAATGTGCAACTTTAGCAGTTTTGGTTTGTTTTTCGGGATTTATTCCAATTCAGGAGACACTGTGCCTGGCCCACGCCTTGGGTTCCCTCGCACACCAAGTCACCAGGCTCCAGGAGGCTGCTCTCCCTCCTGCCAAAGCAACGGGGCTTAGCAAAGTCACATCCAACCTTCAAAGGCCTCTGCAGCCCTCCAGCCCCTCCCGAGGAAGGGAGCACTGTTGGGTCTTGCCTTCTGCCTTCAACTGTTAAAGCCTTGGACACAAACAGAAGCTGATGCAACTTTAAACAAGTTAATATCCCCACGTACATAAAATCAGGCTAATTTGAATCCTGCCTCTGACATGTTCCTCAGGCAGAGCTCAGTCCTGCTCTGGCTCAGTCAGGGGCACAAGCCAGACTGTTCGGCAGTGGGTCTCAAAAAATGGCCACACAAAAGCCACCAGGAGGCTCACAGTGCCACAGGAGGCTGAGATATCACCATGGGTCTGCTCCAGTTTAGGGAGGAGCACAGCCCTGAAGCACAAGTCCCTGCGAGTCCCGGGTGACAATGTGCAAAGTGTGGCAAGATCTCTGCGTTCAGAGCCAAGGGGCCACAGTCTGGGATGTGCACCCCCCTCCTCTGCATCTCAGCGCCTTCCAAACCCATTCTTGGTCTCTATCAGCTCCTGACCCACCCACAGCAGTGCAGTACATCTCACACCAGTGCCCCAGGCCACGGGCAGCGAGCACTTCCCAGATAACCTTCTGTCCGACCCTGAGAACCCACCCAGCCGTATCCCGGGCCTAGGGAGCACCAAGCACTGAGATTCCCATCTGAAGAAACGCTTGGAGGAAACAGGATGACATTTCAAACACAACAGTCACATTATTTTATCCCCCCTCACCAGATGACCACCTCAGCTGTTTCCTGATGCCTGGGGGAGATGTACCCCAGATGCAGGAGCAAGGAGGGAAGAGAGAAGCTCAGCAAATGGAGAGGTTGGCCAGTACAGAGCCTTTTCCATCCTCTGTGAGACTTCTACACCCAGGACCTGGAGGCTGACACGCTTCACCTGCAGCTGAGCTGAGGTGCCTCAAAATTCAGGAGTCTTGATGAGCCACCAGGACCCCAACAGCCTCAGGATGTTCAAGACCCAAGTATAAGAGCAGCCAACTGATTCTAAACGGCAAACTCGCAAAAGAAACTGCACAAAACCCTGCTCAGCCCCCAGCAGGGGGGTCTAACCGGGAGGTGAGAATGCAGACCTGAAGGACAGGCAGCCCTGGGTACTGGGGGCTCTGCTGCGGTCCTGCCTGGAGCGGGCACCCAGCAGTGCCCTAAACCAGCTCCCCTGCTCAGCAGTGCCCTAAACCAGCTCCCCTGCTCAGCAGTGCCCTAAACCAGCTCCCCTGCCCAGCAGAGCCCCAAGCCAGCTCCCCTGCCCAGCAGAGCCCCAGGCCGGGCTCCCGTGCCCAGCAG